CGTACAGCTGCAAACGAAGCTATGAGATTTAGCAAAGGTCGCAGAAACAGTTGGTACGATGAGGACTGCCGTATTGCGGTTTAGGGAAAACAGGCTGCCTACCTCGTAACCTTTCGATCGACCACATCACGTCCGGGGTGGGATAGATACCGGGATATGAAGACCAAAGCAAGACGCATTTGCAGGGAAAAAAAGGAAAAGGTCGAAAAGCGTGAGCTTGGGAAGCTGGCCGACAAGGGTAATGTTGGAAATTTCTACGAAAAATACGGCGACTTACGGAAGGTCTTCAGACCGAAGCAAACTCTTGAAGGATCCAGAGGAGTAAGCTGGTAATAGATGGTCAGGATATACTGAATTTATAGAAGGAACACTTCTCCAACCTTCTGAACGGTAGTGAAAATCATATACCCGTAAATGGTGAGCTCGAAACTCCAATTGATGATGACGGAAAAGTTGTTCCATTCCTTGGCTATGAAGAAGACCGAATAGCAACTACCCGCTTAAAAAACAACAAAGCGGCTACTTATCAAATGTTAATTCAGATGACTCACGAAATTTTTCCGGTAAAGACACTTTTTATTATTCGTAACTCGTGTAACGCTACTCAAGACTTTAGACCCTTCAGCATCTTTCCAACTGTTTTCAAAGGTGCTTATGGATGACATTCGTCATGGTTTCGACGATAATTTACTTACCACCTTAGTATTTTTATATTTCTCTATAGCTGTAAACCATGATATTCTACTCTCTTTGAATTTTAACACATCAGCAATTGATCTTATGAGAAGCTACTTATAGGACAGATATCAGCATGTACAGGATGGGGATGTAATTTCAAATCGCAGAGAAATCATCTCCCAGCGTTCTATTTTAGGGCCAATACTTTTCAGTTTATTTTTTGATAACATTGTTGACTCAGATTTACCTCTCACACCCCATTGGCCTTGATAAAGATTTAATAGCTAGTTTGAATGAGAATCTATGTATGTATGTCTATTTCACTAGATTCTTGCATGGTCGAGAAAAACATATTTTCATCAAATGGACCAAGGCCAGATCTATTTGAAAAATTCGTATCAGTATAGATCACTTTACTTGAAATTTAGTATACAAACAGGTATTTCTTATTAGATTAAAATGCTTCCGGGATCTGACCTTGAGCCGCGATATTGTTATTCGAAAACATTATTTTCTCCTAATAAATACATTAAGAAATTTTTGAGCCAAATACGACGTTCATTTCGCTTGAAACTTAGTACGTAGCTAGGCTTTTGAATAGATAAAGATGAAGAATTCTTCGAATTTTGAAGATTCGTATTTACATTTTCACCTCCCTTACGCTATCAATTGTTATAATTAAAATAGACAAAAGCCACAGCAACCAGACGAGTTAAATGATTAGAATAATAAAAGTAGCAATTGCCGAGTGGTTAGCAATGCGCGATATCAGGCTTCAGGAAAAATTTTTTGTCCCCAATATTCATAGACAATTGTCCCTTAAAATTAGTCAGCAAGATTAAAAACTTAGGATACATTTTTAACTCTAATCTTACATGCACGAATCATGTAAATTCCATTGTTAGTAACTGCTACCAGACGCCGACTAGCTATACAAATTATTCTTCCGGTTATTATGCACTCTGAAGTCGTATACAGCAAACATGACAGTGTGTCTGCTCGTAAAATTGATGTTATGTTTAATAATGTCACATGTATATGTTTAGTCTTTCCAAATATGAGCACATCTAGTCTTGGAAAGATCAGATATTGGGGTGTACGATTGCGGACTATCATAAAGCCAAAAATTGTATTTTTCTTTGCAAACTCATTATGACTCAATCTCCTATCTATCTTTTTTCCAATTTTTCTTTTATATCTTTTTATAAATCACAGCAATCATCAAGGCTGTTCTTTGGCAATGCTAGTCGATTATGGAACTCTCTTCCTGCTAATTTAAGGAGCAAATGGAACATGAATATATGAATTTTAAGGGCCAAATTCCAACTCATACTCAGTTCTATATTATTATTATTTTTGGTAATGTATCTGCAAAGTAATATTTACTTATTCTTGTTGTACTAAAATAGATATAGAAATCTTATTGTACTAATGTTTTGTTATTATTATTAAATAAATATCGTATGGAAGATCGTGGGTTCGAATCCTTTAATTGTCAATCCTTTCAAGTGTATTTCTAAAGCTACTCATAAATATCCATCAGCCGTTATCGCTTTAATGGTTATAACAATAATAATAGTATTAAAATCCTTCCGGGATCGGAATTATAATAGTAAAAAAAAATAAAAAAGAATAATAGTAATAACCATTAATTTCTTAACTTATAAAAATATATAACAAATAATAATATATTATATCAAAAGGGCTTTTAAGTCGTTTTTCTTATTTACTTCCAATTATTACTTTAATATAATTATTCAATAACATAGAAGCGATGTTAATGGTTTTTCCACTCCTATTAACCAATGTTACACTACCCCATGGATTAGAAACTTCTTGTTTCAAAACGCATGAATGCTTGTGTAAGTGTGTGTTTTGTTCTATGCTAGTTGTTTTAGATAACTTAGAACTTTGTTAGCAGGCAACAGTGACTTGTCATTCGAAAGATCAAAAGGATTAGATAATTACATCTGTTCAGAGAGCCAAATTGCAATTCAAACTATAGCGAGACATTTAAAACGTGTTTGTGATATTTTGTACATTTTATAATTGAATGCATGAAAAGAAAATATTTCACTAAATTCTATACCATTACATTCGTTCATATATATATATATATATATGTAAATAATGTACACACGATGACAAATGAAAGGAATAGATTATTGAGGATTTTAAATCTCGGGCAGCGTCTGGGAATTTCATAATTACATACGTATTTATTTTTGGCATTAACATGCCTATTCTCACTGTTACCGGTAAAGTAATAATTTTTACTTTTTTTAACACTCGGAATTGAATTTGGTATTCTGGCGAACTGGTTACAATGTTTGAAAAAAATTTGGCAGCACTGCTCTTTTCGTCCACGTCAAATTACATTTGCCAGTTCATAAAGTAAAAAGAAAAATATTCACATCGAAATGGAAGACGGTGCACAAAAAAATTAAAAACTTTTAGTTATTTGTTTATTAATTATGGATAATATGCCTGGACAACAAAAAAAAGCTGAATGAAAACGTTATCTCACAAATTAAAGAGCTATTTTTTAGTCTCGAAAACATCTTAAAATACGGCTTTTGCACTTTTTTCTTCATCTTAAATGAATTCTAGGCTTAATATATACCTAACTATTTTGTTTTTTATTTTTTCTCAAACTTACAACACAAAATCAAACAGCAGATATTTTTGTTGCCTCCTATTTCGCTGGTAACAAAATTTACAGGGTAACAGTGAGCTCAGAATACGAAATGGTAACAAAATTTACTGAATGGTAGATTTTAATACCTAGGTAAATTTTTTTTAACTCGACAGAAAAGGGCTGTTAATAAAAAGAAGAATATTCATACATACATATATTTGCATTTCATTTGTTGTGTGCATGTTCATATGTATAATTTATATGGGAAGAGTAAACAAAGCAGATAAAAACAATGATTTGAAAAGAGATTTGTGAATATGCACAAAAAGATTCCCTTTCAACGCAATTATTTGGAAAATAAACATTTACTAAAAGGTCAATAGTGAAAATGGGACAAGTTAGGTTTATGTATTTCATTGTACAATTTTGTAACTATAACATTGTCCCACGAGAAATATCGAATACTCTGGTTAATAATTTTCTTGAATGAAAATATTAATTGAAATTTTTTTTATAAAATTAGTAAATGTGTATATTAAAGGTTTCAAATATCAAATATTTAGCGTGAAACATTCGAATACGACAGAGTATTCCATAATGATTCTTTTATTGCAAGTCCCTTGAGATTTGGCAAAGGCATTCAGAAGCAATGATAAGGCAACGGTGGAACAAGTGTGAAAAGACAACTAAACTTAACGGTAATGTCCTCCGCTTAATATGCTCAACGCATGTCTGATATGAACTTGAAGTTTCCGGTCGACACTAACCATCTTTTTACTGCATTTTTCCCGATAAGGATCCATCGAAAATGGTCTACTTGTTTCAGCTAGGTGACCTCGTAGAACAAAATAGGTATCTCATTTCTCGTCCTTTAAATTTTGAGCATTGGAGTGAAATCTTCTTTCGTAATTTTCTTATTTTTCAAATTCAGAAAAATGTGTATATTACTAATTATGATAGCATTAATTTTGAAATGAAAAATACAACATCGAATCACTACTTTTGCAGAATACCCGGAATGCATTTTGATTTTCATTTCATTTCAAGTGAGTGAATTAGAATTTCGATTTTTATACATACTATAGATATATTTAATTTTTTTTTGTTTCATTCCGCAATAGTTAAATGTGCAATGCAAACATTGCAAACAGAAACACTTTTACTTCACATGGATACGCGTTTATTGCATATTCATTTGTGCATTTGCAATACCTTTTTGGTTATTCGCTAAGATGATAATTTAATGTAGCATATACTGTATTATATAGTATAAACACGTATTTATTGTATTACATTCGGTATTTGTAGAATTCTTAATTTCTTGCACATATTTCCCGTCGCTAAAGTAATACCTTAAAAAATTCAGTCAGCTTTGGCTCCATTAAATATTTGTAGTTTTTAGGACGGATTTCAGTTCAGTTCAAAAAACGATACTCATAATTTGTTAAATAATAATTATAATTACGTATATACATATGCAAGTACATAAATATGTGTGTAGCAAATACATACTGATATACATGCATATAAATTTTTAGTTTGTATTGAACTTATCGATTGATTTTATTGAAATGATCAATCCAGTTCGCACAAAGCAAAGTCAACTTTTAAAACTTTTTTGATAAGCTTAGTTTTAAAATTTAAAGTTATGCATGGACATATGTATGTATGTACATATACGTACCTTCATATCCAGTATATTTTTAATTCCTACACACACACACATACACACTTACACTTTATTTTGTAATATTTTTAAAACTTTTAGGTAGCTAGTATTGTGGTTGTTAAGCTGAATTCTGAATCTTCATATATACACACACCTACATACACTTGATGGATTTAACAAATTGATTTTATGTTTCATGGCGTGTTGATTGGTAAAAACTGCATCTTTTTAAAAGTGCTAAATCACACCACGTCCGAATTTTTCGTTTCGGTTGGTACTTCATTCAATGTCACAGCGTCTGTACATATATACATATATAAGAGTTTGTGTTAGCTTGTATGCATGTAGATATGTATACAAGCTTTTATATGGGAATTTAGATATTTCTTTACAACGCATAGATTATTAAGGGTTGAAAGCTGAATTTCGCGATTACTCTTAACGACTTTACCAGTATTACTTTTTTTGTTTCATCGGTTATTTTTTAGATGTTGAGAAAAAAAGCTTGGGCCGGAAATTTGTATTTACACTAAATGAAGGGTTGGAAATTAAACTTTGAATGCATTGACTAGTATGTAAACGAATGTTAAGCTTACCAAAATACATACATACACATATTGGTATTGCCTAATTTCTAATATTTTTCAGCCTTTAATAGTTAATTTTGCCGTGTTTGGAATTTTGTTCCTAAATGTATAAGTATAAATATATGTATGTATATACATATACATATGTATGTATATACATATACATATGTATGTATATACATATACATATCTATGTATATACATATACATAATTATGTATATGTGTGCCTATACGTACATATGTATTTCTGGGTTCGTAGGTATGTACATACATACATACATAGGTACTTGGGTCAATAAACTTTAGAAGGCTGTTACCAATTTCGAATCGTTAGATTGGGATTTGAATCTAACTGTTCTAATTAAAAAAAAAGAGATAGCATTGAGTGCCATTTTGTTGAAATTTGCCCACCGTATTAGAAGCCGCAATTTTGGGTGTTTTTGAACCGCATTAAAAGGCAGCAATATTTTTGAAGGTAAATCAATTAATTTCTTTATTTCTATACACCGCTATTACTGCAATAGTTAATATCTAAACACACACAAATTATTTATACAAATGTCGCTGAAGCGATTTTCGACCGAGCTCCTCCTCCAATTTTTGGCTTTTCCGTTTAGATGTTTTTCAACAAAAAGAGGGGCCTACGGTTTATAATAAGCCGCCTCCGAACGGCTGATGGTATTATGTCAAGCTTTATTTCTTGTCAGAAATAAACTCGGAGGAGTTTACATTCCCTGCCGAGCGACGACCGTAGGATCAATCTCGTCGAAAAAGCACGTTTCATGGACCTACCATTAGATGACCTCGGCGACTTAGATTGATTTAACCTGTCCTAAGCTGAGCTGGTGAACCGCTACAAAAACAACAAAAATATTAAATTTAGCTTAATTTTTTATTTAAATTCATTTTCTACAACTTTTTCGATCTTAGTACGACCCCAGGATTGAAACCCGAGCCTTCCGAATGGTAGTAGGCAATGCTCCCCACTCGGCTACAGCAGTCGACGCGTTATTTATATACAAACTTTATTTTTTGAAAAACACCGAGGCTCTTGCAGGTACGTGCACACATATGCCTAATAAAATAAAATTTTTTTTTTTTGATATAAATAAATCCCGCACTTTCTACAGATTATGAGCTGCTGTTATAGAATCGTAATCTTTTCATAAATATTTTTTGATGAAAAAAAATTCACATTATTATATATTTTATATTATATACTTTACTTTTTACCCCACTCCATAAACATACAAGTCTTTTCGTCACGTTTCGTTCGCTCTTGTAATAAAGTGCGCGAATAGTAGGATTACAATGCATGAAAGTATTTATGTTTGTGTGTTTCGACAGGTAGAGCACTTAACTGCTTAATTATGTTAATATTTAGTTTAAGTACACATTCTAGTATACATATGTATTTAAATGTGTTGCAAATGACATGTTCCTATATGTGTCCCGCACACGAAAGCTTGAACATATATTTATTTGCTATTATAAACTTTGTTATATTATTTTATTGAAATGATCAATCCATATATATATATGTATATTATGTTCACTTTTATAAATATACATCACATACATATGTATTAATATTTTATTAAACATCACATTTATTAATGATTCTGCGTTATAAAATCCAATAAGATATCGCACCTTAAACATTTATCTAAACAAATATACGTGTGTATATGTATATATGCTTTTATCTATTTATTGTGCGCAAAAACGCTATGAATTTCCTTCACATTAATTATCAAAATATTTACAAGCACGCACCCACCGTACGCGTGTATGATCCGCACTATAGAATGTAAAACGTAGGAAACTCGACGCCGGCAAATACACGAGCGATAAAACGAACGACACTTAACCACTCACCGTAAATTTGTAACTATTCCTTTAAACAGCGGAAATATTTTTTTGGTAGCAAACAATTATGATGATGCCTTGACTAGCTATAGGCGTAAATGGCTCATAAACGCCGTACATACAATTCACGAAGAGCAAAGTGAGCAAGTTCAAGCGCATGCCAACAATTTCTAGAGCGCAATGAGCGGCAGAGAGTCTTTATGAGAAAAGCTATGCTGCAAAACATTCTATATCAAATAAAAAAATACAAGTTATCAAAGGAGTGTCTGAGAAAGTGAGTAAATGAGTGGAGTAAATATTAGAGCCTTTGAAAATGAGCATAAAAGTGCTTTGAGATATGTAGGAAATGAGTGATATTAATAGTGGGAGAGGAATACTCGAGTTGCTCCCAGATTAGATAAGGTGCTCTATCTTGTTGCCTGAAAACTTATAACTACTTACAGTATTTTAACTAATGTTTGCAAAATGAAAAAACCTAAAACAATTTTCTTTAACTTATTTTTTTTAAATAATATTAGTCAGAGTAATCTTAACATAAAAAATTCACACAATTTTCAGAATTCAAGACATAAAAGTAAAAGGGAAATAAAAATTCAAAAGACACCAAATATTATGGTGTTAATTAATTGTTTGCATTTTATAAGCAATTATTTCAAATATAATTAAAACTGGGAAAATAAAGCAGTGTTGGTATTAATATTTGTTATGATGGGCATGCTGAATAAGGTTGTTTAAGTCATAATTTTCAGGTATTTTGTTCCACTCTTCCTGAATGACCTTGCTAAGACCGTTGATATTAGTTGGACTCCGTTTGCCCACTCGTTTCTTTAAAAATTCCCAGAAACTTTCTATGGGGCTTAAGTCAGGACTCTGGGCAGGAGTGTCAATTACTTTAATGCAATTATATAGTTGCCACGTCCCTGGTTGTACCTTAATTTATTAGGGTTTCCATGGTCAATAAATCTAAATCTTACCACACAATTCGTTGTGTAGAATTTATAAGTAAAACTCGTTCGTCATCACGTCATTGAAGATACGTAGCTCACCAACACCTTCCGACGAAGTGCAACCCCAAACCATTACAGAAAGCTAACCAAATTCTACTGTTGGAATTATGTTTTTCTGTTGCAAAGCTGTGTTGGGTTTTCTCCAAACTTTACCAAGTCCATTATGATACTAAATAAAAAAAATCATCATCCCAGTATTCGTAGTCTTGTAAACATTGGTAATAGAAAAGTTGAGTTGTTTTTCAATATTAACTACCGACAACAATGGTTTCTTTCCAGCTATTTGCGAGGAGGTCTAGTGTATATTTAAGACTTTTCGGATTGTCTCGTGACTTACTGTTTTATGGCAATCATTTTTAATATCTAACGCCAACATTCTCAGGATGGCTTGAGGATAATCACTAATCTGCTTTAAAATTTTTGAATGATAGCGTCTAGAAAGTTTCAGTGGTCTACTTCCAGATTGCTTTAATTCCAGCTTGCTTTCTTTTTCTGCGCGTTAAATAATGTTATAAATCGTTCTAAGCTTGATGGAAAACATTTCCGCTTATTGATTAGCTCAATTCTCTTTTGTAATAGCTAGAATAAACTAGTTGAATAATATAATATTTTCAATAGTTCGTTTGCTAGACATTGTTAAAAACGCTAAATCAACCAGATCTGAGCTGTCCAAAGCATTAATCGAATTGAATGTAATAGAGCAACGCATTGCTATGACGCACGCATTCACTTCTTTTCAAATTTGTGGTACCGTTAAGTTATCTAAGTTTTATTTTTTATTATTTATTAATAATAAATATTATTTATTAATGAAAAAGGAAAATGAAATACTTTCATTTATAAAATAAAATTTGAAAAGAGATTTTTGTGATTTTTTTATTTTGCAAACAATTAATTACCTACCGTACGTACCTGCCTATATTCAAGGCATATGTAAAATAATTGGTATGTTCGAGGAGCTGTTGGGCAATAACAATTGTTACCAACTTTTACTGAGCTGCGGTTGGTGAGGGAAAAAGTTAGTGTAGTTTGAACCGAGAGACCCGACGTTAGCCTCTTAGTTCGGAGATGATGTTGCAAATTCGTGCTGGAAAGAAACCAAAACTTTGCAAAAATTAAAGTAATATTAATATTTCAATAACTTAATTCGAGAGAAATAAGCAAAGGTAATTTTCTTAGTACAATTAAAAAAGGAAGATACGCTTTATACGAAAATGTGACTGCATTGCATTGTGGAATTGGAAGTTGAAGGCATATAAATATAATCTTTTCCTTTTTGTACCATGTTGTTGCTATCTTGGTCTTATCTCATTAAGTTCTAGGCCGCTCATTCGCGTATTTTAATTATCCTCTTGTGAAGTTCAAGCGCCAAACAAATTATTTCGCCCACAAAACATCAATAATTTCACCATTGGGGAAATAAAATAGTTTTTGAATACAATTACTTAAATAAAAATTTTATAAAATAGCTAAATTTATTAACAATTTAAACGCAAAAACATTAACGGAATAACGGATTCAAATGTAACTACCAAAATAAACAGCTGGAATACAACTTGCTGGCTAATTTTTACTGAATCCCGTTAGGGTGAGTGAGACTCTCAATTTCTTTACTGGATATCACTGAATATACAAACATTTGTATTTATAATGAAAGTTTTAAGTAGTTTGTTTAAAAAATGTGTAAACTCAAAATGAATAGCTCCGACGAAACCTAATAATTTCTAGCAAAAATATACCAAGTAACTGTCACTAGAGCAATATAACTATCAACGAGTAACGTTAACAACGAAATCATTTCGAAATTATGAATATAAGTAAAACAATCACTTTATGTTTTTGTTTTTTCTTTATTTCCCTTGTATTGACAAGGGCAGCCGGTCTCAGCGGATGAATTGTTATAACTGAATTACACAAGGGCGACGCTAGCGTCTAAATACCTACACTACTTGTCCTAACTTTAGTTGCTGCACGTTATTAGCCGCGTGAACCAATTCCGAATTTTGGTTTGTATTTGGTTTGTTGTTGTCACGCGCAAGACTATAAGTGTTCGGTCAGCAATATGGCCGAATGCGTTACTGCTGGTTATTATTGCAGTGTTGAGTTTTTCATTGTTGCTGCATGCAAAGTTGTAGACGCACCGTCAGCAGTTTCCGTGGAAGTGATATTTTGGCCGGATGATTGGTTACCTGTGTTAACTACTCCCTCCCTTGAAATGAAAGCGTCCTCGGTTTCTTTTAAGATATTTTTCAGGACTACCATATTTTTTTGTCGTCTTCTCAGAAGTATTGTTATGCCCATAGCTATGGCTAATACGATTAGAAGCAAGGCGCTTCCCGATTGTATGGAGCGGGTCTCAATAAGATTCCGTAGATGAGCTATGTGCCTGAGATTTTTTATATGAATTCTTTGCAGGTGTGGAAGTGATAACAGCTCAATATGTTCAGTGAAGTTAACGTGCTGTGCGGATACCGCCTCGGGATGTGAACGCATTACCTCATTCCAGTTACTATAAACAGTGGAGTTTATCGTAATATCACCTTTGAATGTTATCAAAAAGGTTCCTCTAGCCAGTCTTGTCAAATTTTCGTTTTGTATTATAGCGGGCTGGCCATTAATCAGAATTATGCCGTCATCGATCTCCTCAATGGCGGGCACATTATCGGCGGATATGGATTTGCAATTTGCATAGCGTTGGTTTAGTAGTTGTCGTACACAGGGACTCTCTCTCAAGGGCTGACAGAAGTTTGATGTTATGGCTTCCTTGCAGTTATAAAGTGGGATGTATTCTCTGTTGCATTCAGCCATAAGATTCGTTTCTAGGGAAATAATCTTCCCTTCCTGGATTACGGGCAGCAACTTTACATTATTACAAACTCTTACTATTTTTGGGTATTTAATAATGAAATAAATAAACTGTGTATTTTGAAATATCTTAAATTTAGAAACAGAAAGTGTGTCAGTTATACTAGTATCTGTAGAGAGCTCAGCAGCTAATATATTACTTATTTCCACGTCATTAAGCAGAATGGGGTTGATAATATTTAGATTTGCTAGAGCTACTGATGTAATGATGGTTTCTAATTGCATTATTACTGCTCTATTTCTAGTGCTGACTAAAGAAAAGAGATTTTCCGTATCGATCTGCGTCTGTTTTGCCTGTTTTAAAAGTTTATTAACTGTCACCGTTAGTTCGTTAATTTGTCTCTGGGCAGCTAGATTAATAGTTGCTTGTTGTTCATTTGCTTCTATTAGGGCTTCGGCTCTGGTCTCAATGGTCTGAAAATCGTCAAAGTCCGGAGTGCCGGTTATGTACTTTAACGCAGTCCCTGAGATATTAATGCCTCGTGCATGTCGATGATGTATCCTGACCGCGTCTAATAATTTTAATATTTCGTTAGTCGCCTGGCATTGGAAAGTGGGAATTTCTCTAATATTGTGTCCGTCTCTTCGGTTATTGCCTCGAATCCTGACAAGTTTGTCTTGTGGAGTAAAAACTCATAATGCTCATAGAGAATTACTTTTCCTGTTACTATCGGGATGTAATGAGAGCTGATGTAGTTAAAAATCCTTGCGTTCGCCCACTGGTTCATTATCAAAAGCATAGTTACCATGAATATTTCCATGTTCATATAAATGCTGGTTGTCCCCGGGTATCCTGATTGCTGTCTTTTTGGTTATTGAAGCTGGTTGTCCCCCGTTGGGAACGCCTTCGGCGTGCAATGCTTCAAATATATTTCTTACTGTGTTCTTCTATTTATTTATAGTGGCACTGGTGTTTCACTTAATGTTTTTCATATGAACTATTGTACTATTGTGGCACTTCTATGGTGGCGCTGGTGTCCTGAATATTTCACTTGGACTATTGGCACTTCTATGGTGGCACTTCCGTCTTGAATATTTTCACTTGGACTATTGGCACTTCTATGGTGGCGCTGGTGTTCTGAATATTTTCACTTGGACTATTGGCACTTCTATGGTGGCGCTGGTGTCCTGAATATTTTACTTGGACTATTG